TTTTATTTTTGAAAAGGAGAAATATTTTTTTAGAAGATTTGTATTAAAGTTTCATTTCTAGTTTGCCCCTTTTTTTTCTCAAATTTCTATTAACAGAGCAGGTTTTTCTTTTGCAACGATAATGTAACAATCTGTACTCCATAGATACCTGTAGCCAACATATCGTCTCCACCCTCCTCCTAAATGTTTCCTATAATGTTTCCTATATGTTTTTAGTTAAACAGTTAAACTAAAATATCATTAGTTCAACTTTTTTATTTTCTTTAGTCCAACTGTTTTTAATGTTCTTTTTTTGTTTCTGCATTTTTTATTCATTTTTTCCTACTTGCTTTGATTCTGTTTTATTTTTCTATATTTTAATCATGTATAGCACTTTTCATTGTCTTTGTACTGTATTGTGCTATACAAATAAATTTGCCTTGCCTTGCCTTGCCTTGCCTTGCCTATATAGAACCCAATACGTTTTTGAGTTTCTATGCATAATTTCCGTATGAAAAGTGAGCACGGTATCTTTTGTTATTTCATGCACACTGCGATATCCTGAACATGCTCCGATTATTTAAAGGAAGTTATGTCTTTTAATTTATACTAAGAATAAAATGATACAGTTGAGGTGCTGATAAATCTATGTTTTTATTTGGTTCTTTAAAAAATGGCACTGGCAAACAAAAAAGAAATCTCCAAACTATATTTGTCTCCTTCTTTAGGTTGTGTTTGCAGCATGTGAGACACATGGCAGGATGCTCATCCATACCAGAGAGTACCCTGTAGTTCCAGCATTTTTCTCCTCCAGATCTCTATTTAGCAAAGCTTAGCTTCCACTTACTCAGTTCTTGCCAGTACCAATGTTCTTTCAACGCAGCAGGAGCCTTAAGTAGCTGCAGCATCCTAGTTTACAGGCATTACCACCAATGGTAGGTTATTTTCAGTGAGGGATTAGATGGCAGCGTTTTCCTGGAGTTAGCTCTTCTCCTTGTTGGCTCTCAGGGTAAAAAGCTTTAGTAGTTGTTAATTTGAACCACTTTGCCCTCAGTGCTCACGTGTACATTAACAGCATGGAGCAACCAGTAGCTGCAGTCCTTTGAAATAAAACCACTGAACAGTTTTTGAGAAATCATTAATGCTTTGTTTGCTTTTTGACCTATTTGGAAACGGCTGATTTATTTTTCCTCAGGAGGAGGAGGGAAAGAAAATTTCAGGAAAAAAAAAAAGTTTTCATGAATGTCTTTGCAGGCACGGGCTCCAGCATCCTGTCCTCCCTGCAGGACGTGCCGTCAGCGCTGTGGCCCTGCAGCTCCAAGATGGAAAAGCATCTGCAGGTCATCTCTGTGCTGCAGTGGGTCGTCTCCTTCTTAGCCATGGGTGAGGGCCAAACCAGAAACATTTGTCTAAAGCTTTGTTGGTTTACATTTTAACATGATTTAACGTTCCATTTCTCCTCTCTGTGTCTAGGTATTGCCTGCACCCTGCTGTTGATCTATATGTTCTGCACAGATTGCTGGTTGATTGCTGCCCTTTACACCGCCTGGCTAATTGTTGACTGGAACACCCCGAAACAAGGTGAAAACATCTAAATACATGACTTCCAAAAAAAGAAACTTAAAAATAATCCAAGCTTTTTTAACTCAAAAGTTTCAGTTCAAAAACTTTATCCAGCCAAAACGGTTCAAAAGCTTCCTGGATGGGAAGCGGAACGTCTTCATTCTTGGAAACAGAGTCCAGTGGATTGTTTTTAATTTTCATTTTTTTGGAATGACTTTGACCTGGATGACTGAGAATCTTCACCAGCGTAAATACGTGATATGGTGGTGCTGAAATCTGCTGGGTCTGAGTGTCCATGAGTGCGTGCACAGACATAGCTGGCTTGTCATCATGGCGTCATATAAAAAAGTACAGCGTTACCACAGCATTGGGTAAGCTCTTTTGTAACGATGAGCACAAACAAGGAATGCATTATGCCTCGACTGGTTCCTCATCAAATCATCAGGATATGGCAAATTTCCAACCGCATCGGTGGGCTTCTTACTAAAAGCACAACTTAACTGACTTAGATTAGATCCTGTCTGCCAAAAGATTTTCCCAGCTGTATGAAAAAGTGACTGAGTGATTTAGGTCAATATAAATCCAGCCATTGACTTGTGTTTTGTGGGCATAAAGACGTGAATCTTGGACTCTTCTTGAGATATTTACAAACGATTCAGTAAAAAGTTGAAGCACTGATTCCATCCAATTAGAAATCTACCAAAAAATAATGTTTTCATTTCTCAAGGACAAGAAAATAACGTTTTATTTGCAACTATTGAAGGAGGTTTGTTACTATTTTCATACATTTCTCATTTTGTTCACTATGTTTGTTTCAGAAACATTCAGTTGGCTCAAGTGAGAGAAAAGTATCATTTAGCTTCAGGGTTGTTGTTTTTTTTTTTTCTTGATAGCCTCGGTTATCAGTGTTCTGTTCTGTGTTTATATATCCTTCTTATATTTTTTCCCATGGAAGTCGCCATTTTTTTCTGAAGCGCAATGAATGCTGGGTGGATGACCTGTTTAGCTCTGAATGGGCAATGGGAAAGAAGGAGAAGATGATGAGAAAAAGAGAGCAGAGAAAGTGTGGACTGCTGGAAGAACTGTGGTGAACTGGTGAAAGAAAAGTAAAATGGTGCTCAAAGATTACCCTGCACATTTAGAGGATGTTTGGCTCAACCTGCTGCTGTGAAGCAGGATTCTCCACCATGAATCAAAAATAAATATGGATCCAGGCTCTAAATGAGCTCCTTGATATGTGCTTTAGAATGGCTTTGTCTCCATTAAACCCAGGTTTAAAGCCTTGCAGGGCAGCATAAAGCCCACTGGGAACATTAAGCCTGAAAAAAGAAAGAAGAAATAACAATTATTTTATTCAGTTTTGGTGTTTTATAAAATATGTGAATCAGGAAATTGTCTTTATACCAAACTGAATTATTGTTGTTCTCTACTTCAATAAACATTTCCGGTTTAAAAATGGAGAAATGTTCTTTTTTTTTTATGTAGTTTATATTCTATTATTTAAAAAGTCAATTTATAACATTGATGCATAAACGCCTCATTTTATTCAGTGTTAAATTCTGTTTAAAATAACAGATTATGATTTAAAAAAGTCTCCTTACTTTTACTGGCGTGAAGGAAGCCATCTATGTTAAGAAAGACCCCCATTTCAAAGGATTGGACCCGTTCGTCTGTTTCAATTTGCATGTTTTCTAAACAAAAACAAGGCTTTGTTGGGTTACTGTATAAAACCTTGAACTTAACGTTATTTCTGACATTTTGAATTGAAAAAGCTTCCTTGATGGGAAGCAAAACATCTTCAATCTTGGAAACAACGTCCAGTGGATTGTTTATGACTTTGTTATGTAATAAAGGACCTAACATATATCATTTACCCAGAATGCATACAGCGTAAACATGGTTATGTCTGTTTGACAATATTTGGTTTGAATTCTTTAAAACAAAACAGCTTCTATTACTTTTACTGTGTAATTTTTGCATCTAAAATATTTATCAAAGTCTATGTTATAACTAATATCTGATCCCTTATAAATATGGCAATGTGAAACTTGTGGAAAACTGGATTTAAAAGAAATTTCCATCAAATGCATAATTTATTGGAAATGTATGTAATTTCTTTATTTAAAACTTGAAAAATCTCCTTAGAAATTCTCATACATTTATTCAAACAAATTGTTTAATCCCAACGACAAACAACCATTGGTTTGATTTAAGGTGGGGCAGTTGGTTAAAGCTGAAGAGCCCATCAGGGCTAAAAATATTGCTCATATGGTGCTCTGGATTGTTCTTGAAACACATCATTTATTCTAGTCTTCATTTAAAAAATATGTATTGATGTCTTGTTTTTGTTTTTTCCTCAGGTGGTAGGAGGTCTTCATGGGTAAGAAACTGGACAGTATGGACATATTTCCGAGACTATTTCCCCATCCGGGTAATTATGTCAACTTTCTGCTCGATTGTGCTAATTCAAGAAACTTTAAAACTCAGGAAATCAAAATAAATCCTGAAACCTATTTAATCTGGCACTGTGCAGCCTGTGCTGTATGACTTCAGCAGCTGTTTGCATGTTTACCATCTTCCTGTAGATAAGGCTTATCAGGGCTAGATGGTGTATCAGTTTTCTGCTCCAATGGTGTTCCTTGTCCCGTGTTAATGATGGAGGGTGTACGTTGGTCTGGAGTTTAAACCTTTGTTCTGCCTGATAGTCTGAAGGTATCTGGGTAATCCTTGCTGTGACTGGAGCAGTGTGCAATCACAAACTGGCACAAAAACACGCTGGCTCCATGCAGAGGGTGGTACAGTAGCTGTCTCTGGATGGGCCAAAGGTCAAGGCTGGATCCTGTTTAAACACAGGATATCACCTGCTGATTGTTACAGTCAGCTGTCTGAGCATGTTTCTGGATTCAACGGATAATTAGGTCACCCAAAAAAATAAATGCTACCTGAAGTGTTGTAAGAGGGAAGAAGAAACCCGTTTTGTGAGGATGGAAATCAGATTTTTAGAGCCATTTTTGCTGTGATTGGCTTTTACTGAAACCATTTTGTACTGATATACTAAAACCTGAGATAAGGAATGATAAAGACTACATTTAGATTGCTTAAAAAAAAAATGTAAATTTCCCAAACTTTTATTCAATCTTTAGTTTTGCTTTAGGTCTCTCATCTGGTATCATTTATTTTCTTATGCATACTTTTAATTGGATGACTAATAAACTAAATCCCACCTGATCAGAACCAGCAAACGTTATTTGAGCTTAACCAGAAGAGTATATTACTATTCATTACTGATATTAGTGGTCATTTTAAAAAAATAGTTGAAGTTCTGATATTGTTCTAGAAATTTTTTTTACAGGGGAGACTTTAAAGGTAAATGGTCATACTATATGCCTTTAACAAAAATACTAGAATCCAGTTACTTGTGATAGAATAAGGCTATATGCTCTAAAAGTCCGTCACAATAGAGTTTTGATGGCCCTTTTTTGAGCCTAAATAAAACCCCAGCACCGGGTGATATGAGCAGGTGAAATCAAACGTGGTGCCATCTACTGGCAGAACCACTGAACTACCAGAAAGCCAGCTGGTCGCCAATAATGTAGCTACCAAGGAAGCTCTGTCCATTGTAACCGTGCTGTAATGCCTCTTGGAAAACCCTCAACTTGGAGGATGGGGCTTAAAAGCATTGCTAACACCATTAGCAATGTTAGCAAGAACATGTATTTGCATGTCTACTGATTTCACAGCAGCATCGGAATACTTCCTGAGCTTTAGCTCCAGCTTTAATGTCCATCAAACATAGTATGGTTAACCCAATGCAGCTACGATTTTATCCCTCTTTGAATGAAAATATATGTGTATATGTGTATGTATATGTGTGCATGTACGCATGCACAGTGATGTAATCATGGTCACATAATGTTATGGTAAACGTTTGTTCTCATGGAGAGTTATCTCTTAGGGTGCATTCACACCAAACATTGCAGTAGTGTTGCGCCGATGCCATTTTTTGGCCCCGATACCGATACCCGATACCTGGCTGTGCAGTATTGGCCGATACCGATACCATAATAATGTAAACTAAATGCCATCATGGCTTCATGTCAAGCTGCTGCCTACCTTTGTGAAGCAGGAAAAAATCTAATACAAAGTGAATCCTGTAGAACTTTTTAAGTTCTACAGGACAATAAAAATAAAAAGTTTTTGTTGCCTACCAGGAGTGGGTGACAATAGTCGAATAAACTTATGGCTCTCAAAATGGTATCTGTGCCCTATTTGTTGGTACTCGCCGATACCGATACCACCATTTTAGGGCAGTATCGGGGCCCCGTCCGATACTGGTATCGGTGCAACACTAATCTGCAGGCAGCCACTGTTCTGATATCACTGTGAGGAGACATCGGAGCAGGTACCGCTGAAGCTGAAATATCTGATGTTACCCTCTTTTTCTTTTAAAAAATTAGCAAAAGGATGCGACTTTTGCCTTTTGTGGATGGAAAAATGGCTGCTTGTTCCTCCAGAGTTGCTTTGGAAAGAGTTTGATTTATCAGTCGGCTGCTGTGATTGGTTAAAAACTCGACAAGGGAGGCAGGTACCCAATCAGCTTGAAGAATTCTATTTAATGTACCTCCCTTTTAAAAAAGCATCTGAAAAGAGGCTTCCTAGATTGATATCGTGTAGAATTCAAATTTAACTACAAGTTCAACTGAAGTTGGGTTTATTTCGTGTCTTTGACTAGGCCTTTTGGGAGGTTAACTTTCACCCCAGAACTCTATGAAACTCCACCTGTATGCCCATCAGTACTTGGCGCCATTCTTGACAATCATCACGGCCTGATACTGCCACCACCATGCTTCACCAATGCTGTATCCAGCATTAACAAACTCCGTTACTTGCTTTAAAGCATAATGTTTTTCATGCCAGCCAAAAAGCCAAAGCCTAATGTTTATATTGATTATGAACGCATCTTGGTTTTATTTATGGGTATATAGTCAATTAAAAATGCATGGCAGACTTTTTTTAAGTTATTTATTTGTGAAAGGTTTGTCTGCTCACTACTTTACAGGGTGTTGATACAATCAGCATAAATGTCAGGCAGCAGCCATTGTAAATGCAAAGCAATCAGCAGGTTTAAAAACCAAAACCAGAGAACTCGGATAATTTGGTGCATCCATTTAAAAACAAAAACCTTGTTTTTTGTTCCACCAAACTGAGGTAACTGGACTTTGTTAATCAAATTGATCCGTGATGTTTGTACTGTTGAACTGCTTGTCTTTGTCTGTTTGAGATCCAGCTGCCATGCCTCCTGTTTGTCTTTCGTTACAAATATCAATAGCACTGTAAATCCTGCATGAGTCAACACAGAGCTGGAACGTGTACTTAGGTCCTTAGGAAGGAGGACTTAAGTTGACCTTTCATGCCTTTATAGATATAAAAAGGGAGAAAAACAGGCATGTACCAAGGAAGAGATTATTATTTATGAGCTGGAAGCTAACTGGTCAAAGTCTGACCATATGTTTGTGTGGAAGTGAACACCACAGTAAATCTGGATTTGGATTGATTGTCAGATAAACAGCCTTATGCATTCTGATGTAAACCTAAAAAAACAAAGGTACTTCTGGGTAATTGCAACCCGTTTGCTTCGGCCACTAGGTCTGTTCTCTGCTCCTTCCTCCGACTGTCCGGCATATATCCGCTGCCAGACGGAGGACTGAGCTACTATGGCAATCTTAAATGGGATCGCATTTTCCTAATGGGATTATGCAACCCCAGCTTTGACTTGCTGCTATGGAAGCCTTGTGTGCACGTCAGGAGAGCTGTTTGTGAGCTGGGTTTGCACCTTTTTTTTGTGTAAATGTGCAAATACAGAAATCAAGATCTTGAAATGGCGCAGAGCGTTAAAAGTCCAACCCGGCCAGACTGAGCAGATGGGAACCATGTGCACTGGGTCAGTAGTTTTATGATTGTGTTGAAGGAGGTACAGAAGAGCGCCATTGGATTTGAGCTGATAAGGATGTCCCAGTCTTACTAAAACATTGGAGTCGTTCCCAGATTCTCTGTAAAAACAATAACTCATCAGTCAATATCTTTATCGATTAGTGCCTCCCAGCACACAGAAAACTCCTGAAATGGGAGAATCACTGAAGCCTGATCGGTTAACATAGGATTACTTAGCAAGATGTCATTATTTAGTATGGTTATGCTTGTATCATACAGATGTGTATCATCCAGCCCAACCCTCTTCATGTCTTTCAGCTCATCAAAACCCATGATCTGCTTCCCAGCCGGAACTACATACTGGGCTACCATCCCCACGGTATCTTCTGCTTTGGGGCTTTCTGCAACTTTGGTACAGAGGCTACGGGATTCTCTAAGAAATTCCCGGGGATCAAACCCTCCCTGGCAACCCTGGCAGGAAACTTCCGCCTGCCTGTCCTTCGGGACTACCTGATGTCTGGAGGTGAGAAGCTCTGTCTGCTGCTGGAGGGGTGTTTGACTTCTTGGAATGTTTGATGATGTTGATAACCGTGTTTGTCAGGGAGCTGACCCTTGTCCTGTTGTTCAGCTTCAACAGCTCCTGTTTACTTCGATCTGCTGATTTGACTCATTTCTAGAGCTTCAACTGCTGAGGGGCTCTTTGTTCTTTTGACTTGATCTTTTCTCAGCGATACCTTCTAGACACTTTGTACGCGTTTGTTCTCATGGAGAGTTATTTCTTAGGGTGCATTCACACCGAACATGGTGTCTGCAGCAAGAGCGGTGGATCTGCGTAGTATCCCTCTGCAGGCAGCCACTGTTCTGATGTCACTGCGAGGAGGTAACGGAGCAGTGACCGCTGAAGCTGAAACATCTGAACCTTTCTGTGAAGTTGCATTGTGGCAACAAATCAGGGACTGTTTGTGGTTGTGAAGAGGTTGAATGAGTGCAGCCGAGACAAAGCTGTATTTTATTTTTTTGTGAGAAGGGAAGATGATACAATAATGCTGACAAAGGATGAAACAAAGAATGCTCTTACAAGGTTTTTAGGTGGCTTTTTAAAGAAGCTGTTTTAATTTAGCCCTACACTGCAAATGTGATCTAGAAGTGTGCTAAAAGTGTATTTAGCCTTAATTTGAGCAGGTAAATAAGATACTTAGGCAATATACTGAGTATTTTTACTCTTAAAATAAGATAATTAGATAATATGGACTGAAAATAAGATGATGCAATTGTTTTTCTTTTTCTATTTTCAATGTAAATTGTCTTGTTCCATTGGCAAAGTTCCTCACTTACCTCCTCAAATCAAGAAAATATTCATTTATTTTAAGAAAATATGACCTATCTAGATTTCGATTGCCTTCCAGTGTAGAATGAATGTTTGTCATCCTCCTTTACCTCCCGTCCTTTATAGCCGCTGCCCCTCCCCAGCACTGGTGCTCTCTGCCCTGCTAGATACAAGGAAGCACCGCAGAATCCGACCGTCATTCAGATGCAGCAATTGGGAGTCCTATCATCCATCTCTAGGGAATTTAGGGGACCTGTAGAGTTGAAATGGAAGATCAAGCTTCCCTCTTTCGTACGACTCACTGAGTGCTCGTGGAAATTGCCACGGACACTGCGTTCCATCTGAACGCACCCTTAAGGGCAGATTAGACTTCTGCAGCCACGCACATCAGATGTCGCTTGGGTCTGGTCACGAACCAGTTTTGCTGGCATGTTTCTGCACCATCGGTTTGGAATTTCTAGGCACGCACAGCAGTTTCAAAAGCACAACGGGGAGCCTATTTGAGAACTCACGAGAACTTCAGCGGATGGTCACAAGCACTTCGACAGTGCCAGCGGGAGCATTTTATCTTCCAAAAAAACAATGCCGTGTCTGCAAGATATCACGGTCATCTTTATATAGTTCATCTGAGGCATCGTACAAGTGGTTGTACTTCCAAACCTCCCGGATTTACCTTTCGTCGTAGTTGTCCATTGTAGTTGTTCCTCGTTTTTTTTTAAAATGGCATGCCCCCGGCACCGAATCGAGAAGGACGACCACACAGACAGCTGGAAAGGCATACCATGGAACAATCACAGCTGCTTTTTGTCTGCACACTTCTGATTAAGGTCTGCGCGGGATTGCAACCATCCAACGCGTAGTCAGGATTTTTTTGTTGTGGCGCAAAAAACTGTTGCGGAACCTCTGCACGGGGGGTGTGGTCGCGCACAGAGACGGTTTTGACGGTTGCAGAGGCTATGCCTCAGAAGCATAAATTGGCCTTTAGAGTTATTTCCGCTGCTTAAAAGGCAACTAATCTGACTGTGCTTTTTTGCTTTTCCACATATCTGTGAAAATATAAATACACTTTAGTTTACATTTTGGAACATAATCAAAAGGACCTGATCTAGAGGTAGAGCGCTACTTTAACACTGACCAGTGAGTGAAACGCCCTCTGATTTATTTGTGTATTCAACAGCCACGCCTTTAGATCACGAGAGGTGCATGCATTGCTGCTTCTTACATCTGCTATTAGTTGATGTTTGATTATTAACTTATTTCTTTACATTGAAACTTGTGCAACTTTTATTATCATGAATGAAGTAGGGCTGCAACTAAGATAATTGTGTTAATTGCAAAAATATTGACAGTTTGATCAGACTAATTGGATGGCAAAAAGCTCCTTAGAGATGAATTTATGCAGAATTGAAACTAAAAGTAAGCCTCTTAAGGAGTTCTGAATGGTGCAAATTTACCGACAATTCAAGATTTTCACCCTAAATGCAAATTATTTATACAACTTTTACTGTTTTGTTATAAATATGTGTATCATTTTAACCAAATTAACAGCGAATGCCTTGTTTCTGTATCCTGCTCCCTGTTGCAGGTATCTGCCCAGTGAACAGGCACTCCATCGACTACCTGCTGTCCTGCAACGGGACGGGAAACGCTGTAGTGATTGTAGTCGGAGGAGCAGCGGAGTCTCTGCACTGTGCACCGGGCATGAATTCTGTCACCCTAAAGAACCGCAAAGGCTTTGTAAGGCTGGCCCTGCAGAAAGGGTGAGTCCCGCTTAAACGCTGCAACATAAACACACACTTCAAGGTCTCAAAATGCAACCTAAGCCAAATCTGCTATGAAAACTTCTCTGCTGTTGTGAACCTCAGGAATGAACAAACCCTACATGATTAACCTTTGAAAGGTCAGAAAAGCCCAGAGCAAGGCGTCAGTAAATCTGTTATGAATGTGTCGTGTTGAGCGCCTCGTGGCATGGCCTACCGCTGCTGAAAGGTCAGAATGCATGAACCCGTCCTGACCTGCACTCAGCAGTACATTAATCCCCATTATTAACTCCACCGATAAGTCATCTTGGTATGTTTCTCTAATGCAAACCTATCACTCTGTGCACCTTATGTGCAGTGATGAAGATCCTTCATTCATAACAACTAGGTTAGCGTTTTAATGTGTGAAGTTCAGGGCGCTTTGGATGCACTTTCCAGAAGTGGTTCATTTCTTATAAAATAGGCATGATGTTCCAGCCAGTTGAATAGCTTTCCTTTTTCAAAGGTGGAAACTAGCCTTGAGGATGATCTTCGTGTAAAACCCCAAATCCTGAAAGTGTTGCCTAAGACAATTTGAGAAGGTAATTAAACGAAGCGTCCCTAAAGTTCTCCTACTGACATCAATCATAAAGTTTCCCATTTCTACAATCCCCTTGCGTAATCGTTATGCATCGCCAGAACAAAACCCCATGTGTTTCTCCAGAGCGGCGCTGAAAATAGGCTGCTAATGCCAGCAGGGCGAACTAAACGGACTCCAGGTTAACAAAAAATCAGATTAAATAATACTACTTATACTTCAGCGATAGTATCAGGGTGCTACTTCATTGTATCTGCTATACTATATCCGCTGGTTGTGCTGTTCTCTCTGCTTCATCAACTGCAAAGAAAGATGTAAAAAGAAAACTTTTTATCATCATCTCCCTTTTATCTCCTCTTATTTTCATCTTTTCTCATTTTTTCTGTTTTTGCTTTCCTGTTCTACTTACATTGCAGTGTCCTTATAATCTGTAATACTCCCTGCATGATTTATAATAAAGCAATGTATATGCATAAATCAAGCAGAACACTATGGCAATAGTCATACTGCTCCACTTGTGAAAGCAAAATCTGTTAGCCTCGCTTTTTGGCATCAAGACAATTATTGTTATTGCCACATCGCCAGACTGGACACTGGTTTAAAAAAACAAAAAACAAAAAAAAAACACCTGAAGCCAGCTTCTGTTGGACGTTTCTTTTAGCTGTGGTTTCCAAATGAAAGCATCCCACTTGGTTAAGCGGACATATTTTATTTTACACGTTTCCTCTGAACCATGTGCGGTTCTAGACGGGGGGCCAATGGGGGCCAGTGCCCCTGTAGATCATGTCCTGGCCCCTGTTATGGCCACTATACTGCAGACATGATACTCAAACAAGTTCTGATGATGATGATGCGCGCTGGAACAGACATGGTTACTGATAGGTCCTTTGAATCTATTTCTTTTTTTTTCTTTACAAATTCTGTTTTACTGATTATTTAAAAACAATAAGGTGTTAGCTTCAGTGGTATTGAGATAGGATCCCAGTTTTCATCTGCTAAATGTTTTTTTTTTTTTTAACTAATAAAAAAAAAATACTCTATAATTTTTACATTTTTGTTAAATTTTGAAATAATTTTTAACACTGAATTTATCAGTTTTTCTTGACTTCTAATTCTGAGTTTATAGAAAACTGTAATTTTAAGTTAAGTTATAAACATGTAAAATTCCTAAATTATAAATGTATATTGACCTAATATTCCAAATAATAACTTTATTCGATCTTTTAGATATTTATATGAATACTTTTTTTGAGTTGCTGTTTTGCTATGCTAAGGGGTTTTTATTTTTATTTTTCGGATAACTCAAATGAACATTTTCAAGCCAAAAATAAATATTTTCATTTGGAATTTTAATGAAACCTAATTCAATGGAAATTTCATGTCATGCAGCTCTCTTAAAATATTTAAATCCTTTGCCCATTTTTTTGCTTCATGCTTTTTTGTGCCCCCATTAAAAGAAACACGCTGGCCTCCCCTGGAAAATTAGGTCTAAAACCTCCACTGCTCTGAACCCTCAATCGTAATTATCTCTTCTCTGCCAGGCCATTTTCTGATATCATTACTATATAACAATAAACGCATAAATACTTGGGATGTTGACTGTTAAGCCTGGTAGATAACAGAAGTCTGGTTTCTTAAAGGAATTTTTAGGTCAACCTTAATGAGGCTGAATGTGTCCGTTTCCCCGCTTTTTTTTGTAGTTTCTATATTTTGTGTTCTTGAATGTAAACTTTAGCTGAATGACTTCCTCTGTGATGGTTCAGGTCCGACCTGGTTCCAGTGTATTCTTTCGGAGAGAATGACGCCTACAGGCAGGTGATCTTTGAGGAGGGGACCTGCTGGAGAGCCCTGCAGAAGCGTTTGCAGAAGATCTTGGGTTTTGCCCCTTGCCTTTTCTACGGCAGCGCCTGGGGAATCGTGCCTTTTGGAAATCCTATCACAACCATAGGCAAGTGTCTGCATTCCTTGTTATGCATCTACAAGAGTGAAAACAACAAAAATGCACCCTAAAGGTCCCTAAAGTATTCATACCCTCTTGGGCCTTTTAGATTCTAAATGATGGGAATAAAATGATTTATGATTCATAACTAGTTTAAAAGTTTTTTTTTTTTCAAAGTACATCTTTAAAAGCTTTGATACGCTGCAAAACATGTAAATCTTAAGTAATTTTTTTTCTTAAAATAAGTGGATTTTTTCTTGGATTGAGGAGGTAAGTGAGACACTTTGCCAATGGAACAAGACCATTTATATTTAAAATGAGAAAAAACTATTGCATTGCCTGTTTTCAAGTGCATTTTATCTAATTATCTTATTTTAAGAGTAAAAATACTCATTCCATTGGCAGATCATCTTATTTACCTACACAAATTAAGGGTAAATACACTTAATTTAAGAAATCTTTACTTATTTCTAGATTATTTTTGCAGTGTAATGGTTAAAGGTCGCTACATTGTTCGCAGCAGGAGAGAAATTAATTTATATTCTAGAAGCTATGAGATGATATGATTTCATTTCTGATGCTCGCTCTTCAAGACATCCATCAGTCTATGTGATTGTGGAGGGTGTCTGAGGCTGGCACTAGGTCTCAGCTGTAGTGACAAATTCTCAAACCCGAGCTGTGGACCTCTGCAGCTCCTCCAGAGTAACGATCAGCCGTTTTGCTGCTTCTCGGTTTATTGATCTCTGGCAATAAACTATTGCTCTATGCTCTTTGAGTGATCGATTAAAATTGTTTTACAATGCTTTTCTTTTTATTAAGGAGCCCTGAGCCTTTCTGAGAACAGCTTGAAGCTATCTGAAGTTTGTTTAGTTTTTTTCAATAAAATAGCAGTAAAACACGGGGAAGTTCATGGCAAGTTTAAGAGGTAGGAACACGTTGGCAAAGCAGTATAAATTCGTTGATTGGATGGTGCTTTAAATATAATTTAGTGGAGAATTCACTGATAATTAAAAGTTGAAAAGTTGTTTTGTCTCTGTATAGATCCAATCAGTTAGGATGTTAATACCAGGTCAGCCTGTCCATGATGATCTTTACCTTTTAAACTGCCTCAATGTGACCTAGTGGCAGATGAGAGTTACCCTGAAATCCCACATCCTCCATGTCCAGCCCGCTCCGCTCCAGCCTGCACAAAGCAAAGGCTACAGCCTCTGCTGTTCCTCCCGTCCGAGTTCCTCGGAGCTCGAGGAGATCATGCGTGATATCATTATTAAATTTATAGGAGCAAAACACACTGAAATGAACACTTAATTTAATGACGTATAAAAAAAAACATCAGCATCCAGCGTATATGCAGTTTCTGCCCAAATGTTTTATTCTAGTTGTGTATTTTTGTAACAGGGTAACGACAGATTCACCATTCATGATCCTAGTTATCCCTATTTAATTTTAATTTTTTTTTTCCTGTTTGGTGCGATTGCAATCACAGATCTTGACCAGACAGGAGCAAAAAATAGCTTGGCTAAATATTTTGATGATGAAGGATGGAGAAGATTAGTAGCGGGTGATGTTGAACAGTTCTCTTTGATTAAAATGATAGACAGGTGCTCCGCACGGCGTATGTGAGGGGAGCGGAGCGCAGACGGAGTATGTGGAATCTGGGGGTCAAAATAAGATGACCAGATTTCTGAAATCATATCTGGAGACATTTCCAGCTGGTAGATAAAATGAAATGCAAATCATAGGAATGGAATAGGAAATGGTTTCATACATTTTTAGACATTTATTCATATTTAAACAACAAAAATCAAGTGTAAAATCCAAGAATGTCCCTCTCCTATTTCTTACGATTAATCAAATTAATCAATTGATAGAAGATAGAGAGGGAAGAAGTCTGAATGACTCGATGGCACTAATTAACACTATTTGTAGCTGACTTCTACCTGCTCTGTTTTACTCTAAGTCGATTTTTCCTCTGCTCTCATTCAATCTTCTTTCAGTCTTCTAATCTTCTTCCTCTTCTATCAATCTTAGACTAATCTAAAACTGACATAATAAAATCAAAATCCCGTAACGACAGATCGGTAACTGAAAAATCAGAGCATCATTTTTATATATTCCCAAAAACTAAGACAGTTCATTTAAATTATTGGATGCAAACTATTGGAACTTCAACATGCCATGAAGCAGGGTGTGCTTTGGTGGCGCAGTGGTTAGCGCACACGACCCATGTATGGAGGCCTTATACCCATACCCTCTTTCCTATCAGCCTACTGTCCATAAAAACAAGTCACTAGTGTCAGAAAAACAACAAAAAAAATTGTACCATGAAGCAAATTTCTCATCTCCGTCAAAATATTCATTTTATACCAAGAGGCTTAAAAGTTTCTTTCAATCCCATCACAGCTTCCAAGAGCGCTTCTCACAACTTCAAAACAAAATATCTCAGGCATGAATGAAGAGATGCTGAGTTTGGAAGTAAAGAACAAACCAATGTTGTATGATCCTAATTATCACTATTACAATGGTTACAATGAAAAGAAATGTTTGGGCAGAAACGTGTGATGGATGCTTATGGTGATTTTTATAATTATGTCATTAAGTGTTCATTTCCGCATGTTTTGCTCCTATGATATAATAATAATAATAATAATAATAAAGTAGCGCATCCTCTCCTTGAGCTCCGAGGAAGTCGGAGGGGAGCCAGAAAGGAGGAACCGCAGAGGCTGTAGGTTTCGCTCAGGCCGTCTGGAGCGGGCCGGAGGATTTCACTGTAGTGCTGCACTCTGCTCCTCATCACAGCCAGCTTGCTAACAGCTGTTTCTGCACACAACATGCTTAAGTGCTCTTTCTACCATAATAACAGTCTGCATGCAACATTATCATAAAACTGTCAAATCAGGGCCAGCTTTAGCTGAGGACAGGTGCTTCAAAACAGGGACTGTCCCTGGAAATCAGGGAGGTCTGGTCACTGTAGGTCAAAAGCTTGGTCTCTAAAAAGTTGTTTTCCTCTTACAGTGGGGGAGCCAATAACAGTGCCTAAAATTGAGGACCCGACAGATGAGATGGTGGATCTGTACCATGGAATGTACATCAGGTCGCTCCAGTGCCTTTTTGACAAGTACAAAACCCGCTTTGGCCTGAAGGAGAGCGACATCCTGCACATCCAGTGAGAGGACCAGGAGCAGAGCTTCTCTCCTCCCGCTGCCTCAGCCGTCCGGTTTACCTCTGGAGCATGAAATCACACACCTGTAGACGTCTGCTAAAGAAATCTCCGTCCACCGCAGTGTTCTCAATGTGTGCTCAAAACAGCTGTCGCTGGAGCTCAGGAAAAGACTGGCTTAAAGGATGGTTGCCTCACTGCAGAAATGTGTTTTTTTTTGTTTATTTTTTGGACAAAGTTACACCAAACACCACATCAAAAGCTGTGCCTCTTCTGGTTTATTCATGTTTCTAAGACGCCTGTACTGTCCCATTCAGGCAGAGGGGGGTAAGCTCCACTAGATGGAGCTGGAAAATCAACTTTAAACACACAAACGATGCAAGTGGCAAGCACCACTTTAATAATGTTTAATAAGCCTAAAGTTAATTGAGCCAAAGGTTTGTTTCGTCCCACCTGCTGATTTCTGTGGATTGTACACAGACGGTGTACATTTTCTACAGGCTGGATGAACTTTACCCATGTGCCTGTAACTGATGATGCCATAAAGTATTAATTGTATTCCTTTAAGGTGATTAAGCCCGTTTGGTTGATCCCCTCTAGAGTATTTCTCATGCACTTTTATAAGCGATTAAGCTCTGAAGCTTGTCTTAACAGTCGGCTTTAATTTCATTTTTGAGAAGATCTATCTGCTGCTTACGGCTTCATTCTAGCTGGACGCCTGTTATCTATGCCGTACAAACTGATCATTCCTCTGTCTTCACACCTTTATTTGAAAAGTTTTGAGGTTTAACAGGTGGATTGGGTTTGTTGGTGCCAAAAAACCTAATGGGTTCCAGAAAGTGATGTAGTTTGATCAGTCAACATTGATTCTTTGTGTTAAAGGGATTCAGGCCTTTGGAAGGAGGTTCTGTTAAAGGAAGGAGTCAATAACTCACCTGCTGTATGGAAGGAATATTGGTCCATTATTGTTGGAAACAGAGAACATGTTTTGTTGATGGAAATAAAATTTTAAAAATGATTTATATCAAAAAGAAATTGCAATCCAGAAATGAAACCGAAAAACTTCTTAATCAAAAGAAAGTTTGAAGATTAACCCAACTGTTTTCTCGAACTTTTTATTTTATTTTTGTCTTTTTTCACATTTTTGTTTTTTTTGTTTTTCCGATTGAGTTAATCAATTCCATTCTTGCAGATCATCTCTTCACCTATGGGGGGCGGGCTTTCCTCTGGAACGAGGAGCAAAGATGCTTTTCTTTTAGTCTGCCTGAATGATAACATTTAATTGGTTTATTTGTATTATATTGAGATGAAGAGAGTGTTCTGTGAAAAGCAATTTGAAAAAATCTAAATTCATAAAACTCGATCTGAAAAACAGAAATTTGAAAAAAATCAAATCTAATATCTAACAAAACAGCAAAGGTACTCTTAAAGCCTTTTTTGGATTAAGAAGGTTTTTTTTTAGTTTCCTTTCTTTGTTGCATTTCATAAACTTTCATTTACAAAACATGTTCTTTGCTGCAACAATAATGGAACAAAATCTACTCCATAGTGGAGTTCACTCTTTTTGAAGCATCCTTTAGCTAGATTAAAGCTAAGGGCTAGGACTGCTTTTGTTTTAAAAACATTCCACCTATTTGTTTGCCTTTTATCTGACCTTTAAACCATCATCATGTTTATTTGAGGCTGTTATTTACTCTTAAGTAGATGATTACATAGACCGGAACTAGAGGCAGGAGGATGGTTCGCCACCAATGACCTCCCTGTTGTTTTGAGTTACTCTGAGAAACATTTCACATTTTATTTTATTTTTATTTTTTACAAAAATCACTTTTGGCGCTCTGCTTTTAGCTTCAAATCCCAGTGTAAGGAAATATCTGATTGTAAATAACTGCTTATTCTAAGCATCATGATGGTTGAAATGGTTTATGCAGAATTTTTGCTTTTCTTGTTTTTAAGATGGGAGTTATCTAAATGGTGGTACGATGCAAAAACTGAAATATAAGTTGGATTTTATTGGAATTGGTGAATTCTGCCTTATTTTGAGCAGGTAATAAAATGTGCCAATGGGTTAAGTGGATTTACATTTAGAATAAAAAAACGGTTATCCTGTTTTAGTTGCATAATGTTAAATAATCTGTTGGTAGATCATAATTAGCTGCTCAAATTTAAGGCCAAATACACTTTTTAAAAATTGTTTTTATTTCTTTTTAGAACAGTTTTTGCAGTATAAAAATCTCCTCTGGTCTTAGCCCCTTTCACTCTAGTTGTTAGCTTCGGCCGTGGTGACTAACTAGTTAGTCTGCAGAAAGTTCTCCTCCTTAAATGCTAAACAGAACTTCCTTTCAAATGTGGAGTTAACCCTTTAAGCTGCGTAGTGTTTGCAGGTTCTCCTGTCCCCCTGCTAATTGTTCTGAGCAGAATCGTAACTCTGTAAGAATCAAATATTTAAGGTAACGTCATGTTGATCTGTATGAAGGTAGTCTGTAATAAGCTGGAAGATAAATTTCCTCTCGTCTCAACACTGTGACTTCCTCAGAGTAGTGAATCCCAGAGCAATGAAGAAGATGCCTTCTGATGGACGTCATCTGTCTTTAAATATTTAAATTAAAATTTTGTATGTTTCCAAGAGACCTGGATCTGTTTTTGTATTTTTGTTGAACCATTTTCTGCATGCTCCTCGTTATCATTTGCACCTTTGAACAGGCCATTGTATGTCATTAAGACTAGAAAACAAAAATGTAAAATTCTAGATGTTTGGAATATAGAAGTGAAATATCTAGTTGCTTAGTGACAAATGAATAGGTATCCATTGTTTTGTTTTATTAATTCACACTGTCTGGTAGCACAGAAACTAACAAACCTAGCTAAAGTGTGGTGCAGACCTACACTCCTTTCTACATTTGGTCACAATATTACCACAAACTTCAATGCATCATGATCAGAACAACAACCAAGGAACACAGCAAAAGCATATCCAAAACAACCCACACCATGCTGTTTAAACCATATATATATATATAATTGGATGGAATACGGTACAAACCTACCAAGACATGACTTTGCTGCTAAAATGACAGTTCAATGGGCTCTATGCACAGCTCCACTACTTCCTGAATTTAAAGCAGCTCCTTTGTTTCCTGTCTTTCATTACTGGACGAACTGATTAATCCAGGTGTGTCTGGCCAGTTACTTAGGTCATACACACCTGGATTAATCAGTGCATCCAATCATGAAAGACAGGAAACAAAGGAGCTGCTTTAAATTCAGGAAGTAGTGGAGCTGTGCATAGAGCCCATTCAGTTTAAGACGGGCATACACTGTATGATTGTTTTTTTTTCTTTTTTCTTTTGCCCTTTTCGGGCCGATCTTACAGTCGTGCAACAATTTTTAGATCGGCCCGAGTCGTATTATACAGTACAGGGGGTAACAAGGGGCGATTAGCTTCTTACGACCACCTAGCCATCAGGAATTGTAAGGTCGGGAGAAAATCAAACCTGTTTGAAATTCAGTCACAGGTGCACAATGACGATTGTAGAACCTCAACGCGGGGGGTGTGGTCTTGCACAGAGACAGATTTGATGGTTGCAGAGGCTATGTGTCAGACGCATCAATTGGCCTTTAGTCGACTGCGCATGTGCAGACAAGGGAGGTCTTCTTCCAGATTGACGTCTCTTGGCGCTCAGTCAGACTTGTGGTTTTTAAGGGACAGTCAGATCACTGATGTAAGATGGAGCTTGGCCATTTAAGGCTTTAGACATTCAGGTAAGGAGAGTGTGCTATCTGTGGAGGAGCTGCAGAGAGACACAGCCCAGGTGGTGGAATCTGAAGAAAGGACATGGCCTCTAAACATCAGTTATCATAGGGGATGTAGCAGGTCTCCATCTATTAAAACTGACCATCAGCTAATATTGAAATAAGAATGAGCAATTTCTCGTCAGATTTTTAATCCCAAAACTAGAAACTATAATTCCTTACACTGTTTTGTTGCTTTAAGACATTATCCCCCCCAAAAAGCCTTACATTGTGGCTGTAAGATGAACAAATATAAAAAATGGTAAATATTTAATTTAATATTTGCATTGCAAAAAGTGTGTTTACTAAATACTACAAAAAATGGGTCTGTTTTATATGGATACTAACATAAACATTCAAAAAAGGCCTTTAAAAAAGTAAATCTGTTTATATTTCACAGAAACCCAAAAATGATTACTAAATACACTTTTGTTAAAAGGCTGGAAATGGGATGGAGTCGCCCCCTAGTGGTCAATAAATATTCCGCTTGCGTCTTGTTTTCCAGATTTATGCTTAAATCAGATCAAATCAAAATGTATTTATATAGCAAATGAATACCAAAGTGCTTAACAGCATGATTAGAGATCAAACATACAATAGAAGGAGTGAACATGGAAAACAACTAAATCAAAAAACATACAAAAAAATGAAATTGTCACACCACTGCTGCTGTAGATTAATAGTTTTTATTTTGGCACGATAATTCTCAGAAACAAATGCAAATAAATAACAATATTACAAATGAGCTCTGTGAGTATTTAATACACAATAACACAATTTATAATACGATAAACTTTTTTGCAGAGAAAATGATCACCTTTTGATAATTTTGCGTTGAAAACGACATAGGAGGAAAAAAAACTTTAGTAAAGAATATCAATATTAATATAAATTATTAACAATCTGTAGTAATTAGAAATCTTAGTGTAGTAAACATGCAAATTCTGTTGAAATAATAAAATAAGGTCATAATTGTGTTTACCTTAGGAGACAATTTTTTTATTTAAAAGAAGGCAGAAAATAGACCAGACAAGCTCAGACGGAACAAAACCAAACGAGAAATACTAAACGGTAATTTATGAAAACATTTTTAGGATTTGACAAGAACCAGTAAATCTCCTCAGAAATTTATTCAAAAACATGTCGATATAGAGAAGAAACAAGAGAATAAATCATTGTACATTTGACTGCAACATCAAATCGTGAAAGTCAAATTTTCCTCAAAAACCACTTAAACAGATAGCGGTAAACAAAAATAAATTAATAGATAAACGAAAGAAAAAATATACAGAATTGCTTCAATTCTAATATTAAACATAGAAGTTTAATTGCTGGGGACTTTTTTAACAGAGAAACTGTGCAGCGCGGTGCTGTTCTGTCACTTGAATGTCACGCTGCTCCTACAACTTCCTCATATTTAGCAGATTTTACAGAATTCAGCGGACGCTGGCCTCTTCCTGGTTGACTAACGCATCTTTCAACCAATAGGAACGCTCATTGCCAAGACCGAGCCCCGCCCTCTTTTGATGGACGTCCGTTTGAGCCAATCACGGACCTCCTTGACGTACTTCCAATTCGGAAACGGACTTCCGAAGCAATTGTAGCAGAATAGCCTGCACTTTGTTTACGTCTGACCAGCTGCTGGACTGACAGCTCCCGGAGAGCTTTAAACGCGTGTCTGAGCGCCTGCCGTGGTTCCCTGCATCTTGGTGAACTTTCGGAGGGAAACACTGGGGATGGAGCGTTTTGTTGAATGAGGGGGACTCGCTAGATGCCGACAGGAGGATGAACTCCATCACCGGTCGGGCTCTTGCCTCTGTCACCAACTCTGGAGCTTCATCCTCTCGAGCCCTGCATGTGGAGCTCACCTCCCAGCAGGTAGGCCTCCCTCTGCCCCCTCCCGCGGGTGGAAACAGAGGAGAACTTTGATGGAGTCATGTGTTTGTGTGTTTGGAGGAAATCAGGCCTGTCGAGCTAGGCAGCTAGCCACAGCTAGCTTGTTCTAGCTAGCTTACAGAATATAAACTGACCTCTTGAACTCTGGGTTCTCTTAAAACTATCTAAATACATTTTGTATAATTATGACAATCCTCTTATTTCTCTATTGGGGGGATTATTTATGGTGAAAATCACTAATTGTGGTGACAGCAGCTCTGCTTCAGAAAATGTGACACAACTGGACGTTAGATCAGTCAGCATGTGACAGGTCACTCACTGGAAGCCGATAAACTAAACGGCTATACTCACTGTAATCGTTGTACTACTGTTTTTTTAAATTATTTTTTAACTTCTAAATTATACTCTTTTCAATTTTCATTTAAACGTGTTAGTTGTTAATAAAGAAAAGCTGATAATGTTCATTCATTTGGAGGCAGGGTTAAGAACGCTTGTAAGCGCGCGCAACACTCCCATATTTTGGTACAAATGCAAACAAAAGGAAGCTTCATGAGCCTTTTTTTTGATAAGGTAAACCACTTTCCTCTATATCTATTGGCATTCTGAGAAACAGGACAGTGTAGTCTTGTTTCTCTGACTGTCACTGGCTGTAAATGCTCTCTTCATCCTCTGACATGGGAGCAGGCTGGGAGCTCATCTGCCTGGCTGAGTGTTTCCTGCCTTTTACAGTTGCTTTTTGTGTCTTTTGTATATCTGCTTCTGCCTCCTTGAAGCCCAGTCAGCCTCAGCAGATGGCCGCTCACACTGAGTCTGGTTCTGCTGGAGGTTTCTTCCTGTTAAAAGGGAGTTTTTCCTCTCTACTGTCGCTACAAGCATGCTTATTGTGAGGGATTGCATTCTAGTCAATGAGTCGATGCAGTCAACTGGTTTTCCTTGCATAGAAAACATTGAATCAATTTGACTGTATGATCTGGTGAACTGTAAAGTGCCTTCAGATGCCATGTGTTGTGAATTGGTGCTATAGAAATAAACTGAATTGAAAAAAAAAAAATAGAATAATATATGTTTAACAATGGTAAACATGCTTAGTTTTCTTAGAATATAGTCCCTTAAACTATAAGTAACTTCATTTATCATGGTGGTGACTGGTGTTAGTCTGACTGATTTTACAGCAGGTGTTCTGAGTTCTACATACCAGCTATGTTTAAACATGATCATTCTTCCTTAAATTGATCAAAAGATCTGGCTAGGCATCTATGGATGCACCAATCTAAGGGTGTAGCTCTGTGATGAAAGTTTATGGTGACGCTCTAAGGTTGGAGGCTGATGGACCTACAGTTATTCCACCTGAACGCTTTTATTAGGTTTTTGTATTTTCCAAACATGAGCTCGAACATTTATTTATTGAATGCTTCCCTATTGTTGAGAACAAAAGAGAACCAAAATACACTAATATTTATATTTATAGATGTTAGAGAGAAGCCTTTTATTGCATGAAATTATAGGGCCCAAAAAATATTAATGTATAAAAAAGAAAATAAATGAATAAGAGCCGATTTCGATGCCAAAATTGATTTGTCATGCATCCCTAGAAGTACAATTTAAATTCCATCCATCCAGAAAAATATGGATATGCTGCATTTTAAATATAGCAAAGCATCTTTTTTATTTTTTTTTTTGTAAACTTTCTGGTAAACTTGGAGATATATTTTATTACATGTTGCATATCACAGTACATCTGTTTCCCCTTTAAATCTGCAGCTCTCCCTACTTCTCTCTGTGCTTGAGAACAACACATAAAACAGACCCATTATACAGATGCAGAAATTGTAATAGAATAGATATCCATTTTTAAAAACCGAGGAACAACTACAATGGACAACTATGACGAAAGGTTAATCGGTCTTTTTGCTAACTCCATTAACAGAACCTGTTCCTCTTTGATGTCTAGCAACTTTAGATCCATCTCTGTGACCGTGATATCCATTGTTGTTTTGGAAGATACACACTCCCGCCGGTGCCGCCGAAGTTCTCGCAACTTCTCGAATAGGCTCCCCGTTGTGTTTTGGCGGGAAACTGCTGTGCGTCCCTAGAAATTCCACACCGACGGTGCAGAAGCATACCAGCATACCTGGTTCTTGACCAGACCAAAGCCGCATTTGATGTGTGCGGTTGCAGAAGTTGAATCTGCCCTTAATCCTGCTACATTGCGCTTGCTTCATGGTACGGGCCGGTGACAGTGAAATCGTTTCAGTAATTATCTGAATGTCTATAATGATAATAAAAGGTAGACGGACCAAACCCAGTGAACTTTTATTCAGTTCAACCTAAACTCAAAAACATTTGTAGTTTAAAAGCTGCACAAGGTTCATATGTCAATGTTCTGCTTGTCTTCAATGTTTCTCATCATTCATCCAAACAGCCTTGAAAATATAAAAGTATTGTTCATTTTAAGATTCATATCGATCAAAATACGGTTTTCATTTTAAAACATAAGCTGAAAAATGTCCTGTTGTCAGCCAAGTTGCACCAGAGCATGACACTACCACCGCCATGTTTAACAGATGACCTGTTAGCATCAACAACCAGCATCCAGAGGAATCTTTGCTGGATAAATTCAACCTGCAAACGTTCAACTTTGAATGTTTTTGTTTTGATCAAAATCCGGACTGGATTCCGATGGAATACTCAACGTTTGAATGTCAGGCGGTTGAAGATGTTTGTTTCTCTGTTGCTGAGAGCTGCAGACGACACAGAGCTGTAATTCCTGGACATCATGTGTTTTTGATCCACGCTTCGTGTTTCAGGATCCAGAGTTTTCCCAAACGAAGTGATTCAACCTTTTTAACCGTTGCCAAACTCTGCCTCTGCTGCTCTTGTTTCAGCTGCTCGCATTTAGCTGCTTCTGCTTTTCAGATCTTTGCAGCTTTTTTTTTTTTTTTTTTAAAGCTCAAACGTTTCCTTTTTCTCCTGAATGTTTTAATCCTGTCTCATTCTCTCCTTTTTACTGGAGCTGACTTTAAAATCCAACACTAGAAAGGACATTTGGGCTCAGATGTTGAAAGTGGTGAAAACCCAGCTGTTGAGATGCATGAATAACTAAAAGCATCCTTGCATCGTGGAATATGCCAAACATAATAAAACTGAATGACAATCTTTTCATTTTTTATGATTACAGTTTTTTATTACTGGTTGGAGCCGAAATTGAAAGTTTATCATATCTTTAGCTTAATTAGTTTCTAATCACGATAAGGATTTGGATTTATGTCCAAATGATTGTAGTGACTTGTTCTTAACAAATAGAGAAAAAGAAAAAAGAATGAATCTAAACCACGGTGAGGTGTAAATCACAGCCATCATGGTGATTCGAATCAGTAGCAATTTCTTGACCCAATGATTCTATTATTTTCGATACTCCAGAATCCGCCATGTTTGTCTTGCCTACTCTTTATGCAAGTGTGTGCAAAACAGAAATGGGGTAGTGCTAGAGGAAGCGAGGTAGGAGGGCAAAATAGGTTTAGCGTTTACACAGCACGGGGGTCAGAATTAGGTCCAGGAGCAAATGGATAAAAATAGACCGGAGAAAAAAAAAAAAATGAATCCGTACTGTTGCGGACGTGTCGATGCATCGGATCGTCGGCTGTCCTCTTCCATTAAATTAATAAAACTTCATCTTCTTGGCTTGCAGAGCATTTATTGATCCAACGCTCTCACAAAAAAGCTAATTTTAACTTTGTCCACTGGCTTACAACCAAAGGATCTTACATTTGCCACAATGCAGTGATCAATAACAAATAAAAAACACAAAAACTACAAACAAGCGGCATATAATAAAATGCGGTGTGGCCAAAAAGTTGTGCAAGTTCTGCTACTCAGTATACTGAGAGAGGTCTGTAATTTTCATCATAAGTACACTTCAACTATGAGAGACAGAATGAGAAAAAAAAATCCAGGAAATCATATTGTAGGAATTTTTTAAAAATTTATTTGTAAATTATGGTGGAAAATAAGCATCATGTAGCATGATTGTGGACCCATGAAGCTCATAACCCAGTTCCTTCCCATCTTATTTCCCCCTGCCTGTGGTTCTCTCTCTTCAGCTCCATTCAGAAATATGCAGGAACGTTTTTAAGGAGGGGGTTTCAAGTCCTCAGTGAAACAATCAGTTGTTTTGTTTCTCACTTCCTAATCTTCTAGTGAATCCCATGACTCAGATTCCACCTTATCCTCTGCTGCAGGAAAGAAGTTAGACCACTACTGGTGAGAGTGTAGTAACGGGAAGCTGTAACATCTAATTCCTGTGCTTTCACCTCCCCCTCCTACACACACACACAGACACACACACACACACCCCTACATACATACATATATATATATATATATATATATATATATATATATATATATGTATATATGTATAATTACTCACAAAGACTGAGCTAATATATGAACAAGTGATGCTCTGAGAGCGAAGACTTGTTTTTGATACTTCTTGATGTGAAATTTTTGTGTGTTTGACATGTTACTATTTATGTTTGAAGTAGAGGTGCAAACCTGTTAAAATGAAACTTGTTTCAGAGAAGCGACAATAAAACTGTGAAGCTGACACCTGAACTGGTTTTTAGCATCTTAAATAAACGATTCGCCTGGCAGACTTTTTGCCCGCTATAGCCCTTTCATACAGAGATTTCCAACTTTAAGCCGAAGTCTTGTTTTCAATGAAAGTTGAAAAGATTGACCCGGGAGCTTAGCCCTGCTTTGCCTCACCTTCTGTTTAAAGTTTGGTTTTCTCTTGCTTTCGTGCAGATTGATTCACAGCCATACAGTTGATCATGTTTCACATGTTGGTAGGGCTGAAACTAACAACTATCTTGCTAATTAACTAATAATCTCTCAATTATTTGAATCTGATTGAAAGGCACTTTAAAGAAGATAATATACATATTTTAAACCAGGATATCAGAGGTGCCATCTGAAGTGGCTTTTAGGTGACTTTAAAAAAAGCTGTTTAAATGTAGGTCTAGAGGGACTGTTGGTCATCCTCCCTTTCCTCCAGCACAGACCTTGGCTTGTTGTTGGCACTGATATTCTCTGCGCAGG